TTTTTGGGTTTTAAGCGTTTAGGGTTTAGGGGTTTACGGTTTAGGGGTTTAGGGGTTTAGGGGTTTAGGGTTTAGGGCTCTTGGTTTGCTGGATCCTCGAGTATTTCGGACCCGGGTGCTATGTGTTGAGCACTATTTTGTTTGTGGGGGTCTAGGGTCTCGGGCTCAGCAAAACAAAACCCCACAATTCGGAAGTATACTTAGAAGTCGAAAGCCGGTTCCCGAACCCAGAACCCTAAACCCTAAACCCGGAACCCTAAACCCTAAACCCTAAACCCTAAAGCCTAAACCCTAAACCCTAAACCTCAATCGGTTTCATCGCTGGCCCGACAATAACCCCCTGGAGCCCTGCATCCCAGGGCCCCAAAACCCCTCCTTGAGACTTCGAACATCCAAAACGGCACCGTCGCCCACTTCCAGGGTTTAGGTTTCAGGGTTTAGGGTTTAGGGATTAGGTCTTTAGAGGTTTAGGTTTCGCGGATTTTGGGCTTTAGGGCTTTAGGACGTTAGGGCTTTAGAGGTTTGGTTTCAGGGTTTAGGGGTTTAGGGCTTTAGGGGTTTAGGGGTTAAGGGTTCAGGGGTCCATCCTGAAACCCAAAAACCCTCCGACTGAGGACAAAACCTTACAGAGTGCACGTCGGGTGTAGGGGTTTAGGGTTTAGGGTGTAGGGGTTTAGGGCTTAGGGTTTAGGGTCACAGGGAAACTGAACTCAACTCAGTTTAACTGAAGGATATGAAATTTACAAGCCCCTTACAAGACGTCGCAAAACCTGCAAAGCCTGTTCGAACCCAACCTTCGTTCGAAAGAGAAAAGGCTTCAAAAAGCATTCTACGAAACGAAAAGGATGTCTATATAAAAACCCCAGCCAGGCCTTTGACTGGGTTGCCGTTGAGGAGCTTAAACTAAATTACTATAGTAAGGAAACCCCGTTGTTTGCAATACATCCCCAATATAGTAACTGAAATTACGGGTAAACCCAACAAAGTTGGAAACCGGATGCAGGACGTTTCTTGCTGGGATTCCCTATACATTGCTCTTAAGGATTGAGGCTATTGGGTTTCCAACTGTTTTGGCTTCTACTGTACTAAACCCTAAACCCTAAACCAGTTGAGGTCGGTCCTGAGGAGCGCTAGGATGGTGGAGCTGGCACTCACCAAGACCCACTGCCAGGTCCATATGGGCACCTCGCGGGTTTAGGGTTTAGGGTCTAGGGTTTAGGGTTTAGGGTTTAGGGGTTAGGGTTTAGGGTTTAGGGGTTTAGGGTTTAGGGTCTAGGGTTTAGGCTTTTAGGGGTTTTGGGTTTAGGGTTTAGGGGTTTAGGGTTTAGGGTTTAGGGATCTGGGTTTGCTAGGGAGGTATAATGTAGGGGCCTTAATAATTAGAATAGGAATTTGGGGCATTTTTTGCAATAATTATAACAAGGAACCCCCAGAATATTATAGGCAACTATTGAAGCGCCTACATTATAGGACAGAGATACTTGTAGTCCCATGCCTCGGGCATAGGTATTCTCTGTACAGTAGTCCTCGAAGAAGATTGACACATCCAGTGACACAGGAGTCACCTAAACCCTAAACCCTAAATCCTAAACCCTAAACCCTAAACCCTAAACCCTAAACCCTAAAAGGAGTCCTAACCTCGCTGGCCCTGCTTCAGCATCAAGTCGGCATACGCTCCGCCGAAACGCTCCCGCTAATATCGGGGAGCATCTGACAAGCGACCCCATGGGAAGGCCTGGTCATGAAACCAAAATCGGCGTCCGTCAGGTCTGCGGTGCCAGAAGCCCGAGCAAACCCGCAGCAGCCGGTTTTTGCGGGGACCAGACTGATAAGCGTATGGACACAAGGCGTATTTCGCGCATCTCGGACACTTGCCCCACTTCAAGACACGGGTTGTACCCGTGGCGTCCGCAGAGCAAGCAACGCTTGCTTTGATTTGCCGGCATCTCCCCTGAAAGCCTGAGAGGCTGCAATGATGAAGCCGACAATGCATATAATCATCCCCTCACCCCTCCCCCCACCTCCCCACCCCCGATTTGGAAGCAGGCAGCACTGAAAAGCCCGACAACATCTTGGCCGACCTCTGAACCCCTCCTAAAAGTTTTCTTATTATAGCTCATATAGGAACACAGAAAGTTAAAGTCCTAAGAGCCAACCAGAAGAACGCCGAGACATGTGTCAAGAACCCTGAAAGCCCTAAAAACAAGCATGTGGCATGGGGCCGCCGCGAATGGGTGCGTGAGCTAAAACTACATCCAGACTCCTGTCTCCTCACGTCAGACCGCTTTTTGCTGAAGGTTTGGTAAGGGTCTTAGGACCTCCGCCGGTTTCAGGTGTAGGGTTTAGGGTTTAGGGTTTAGGGTTCAGGAAGTAGCGCACACGGGCCTTAGTGATGGGCAAGACTGACAGCTCAGGGTTTGGGTCCGCACTGGCATCACGAAGAAGCCTAGGGTTTAGGCTTCAGGGCGTAGGGCTTGGGGGCCAGGATTCGACTTTAAGCGTAGGGTTGAGGGGGGTTCAGGGTTTAGGGTTTCAAGTTTCGGGTTTAGGATAATTTTTCGGGTAGATACCATAGTAGAACTGTATAGCAGTACAGGAGCTGTAAAGGTACGTTGCTACTGATTGCTCTGACCTGTACAGCAGGGTCAAGTTGCGAAGCCAAAGCCCAGCTTATGTTCAGCTCCTGTTTCCTGGACTTTAGGCAGCATCTCGCGGTCGGGTTTAGGGCTTAGGGTCTAGGGCTTAAGGTTGTGGATTTCGGGAGCATATTCTGCACATGGAACAAAGCTCAGATTCCTTCTTCAGCGCATGAAGTGGCCCGTCAGCCCCTAAACCGCATACCCCCAGACCCTGAGGAATTTAACAGCCCAGCTACCGGACAAGAGCTGCTGCCCATGACCTGGAGTCAGGGACAAGTTTCGGGGAATCTAGGCTTCGCAGATCTAGGGTTAAGGCGTTCCTGACGTTGTGTTTTGGGGTTTGCCTCGGGCTTTGGGCTTTGGGAGCTCAGGCCTAGGCCTTTTGGGGCTTATAGGCCGCAGTTTTTAGGACTCAGGGATTAGGCCGTAAGGTTTGGGCCTTACAGGTTTAGGACTTAGGGTTTAAGGCTTAGGCCTTATGGTTTGGGGTTTAGGACTCGAAGCATAAGGTTGAAAGCTTCGGCTTAAGGCGATGATCATGGCTGTGCTCAATCCACAGAGCCTTCCCTACAAAGTTGCACAAACCCTCAGCCGCAGAATCTAAACCCTCAACGATGAAAACTGTGCCAAAAACTCAACACCCTGAAGCCTAAACCCCGAACCCTAAACCGACCGAAACCCAGAAGGCCTAAACCCTAAAGCCGTAACCCTAAACCCTAAACACTAAAACCGTATCTCCAAGAGAGCCCAGCCACCTCGGCGACAGCTCTCACATCCTGGCAGCTGGCGCACGTTAGGGTTTACGGTTTAGGCTTTAGGGTTTAGGGGGTGAGGTTTGGGGAATCCTAATCCGTAAACTGCTGAAACCACGTCTAGAACCCATAAGAAAAACCCTGTACACATGGGACAACCCTATGAAATCTTAGCAAACCCGAAGAACCTATAAGCACCGATACTGCGATCATTGTTGCGGCCAGTGCTAGTTGCACGACTGTTCTGGTCATCGTGCTCGCACTTCATGGCCGGCGACACCGGTTTAGGGTGTAGGGTTTAGGGTTTAGGGTCTAGGGTCTAGGGTTTAGGGTTTAGGGTTCAGGGTTTAGGGTTTAGGGTTTAGGTAATAGAGCTGTTGTTGTTGCTGCGGCTCTGCACTACCACTTGCACAGTGACTTTGCAGCTGTCGATATGGCTATCGCTATCCACGCTGTCATCGGTCTTAGAACGGCTGTCTGTGCTGTTAGTGTTGCCGCTATTCGTCTCACATTTCTCGCTATTACTATGATACCTATGCTTTTGATGTCATCACCGTCGCCACCATCAGTGTAGCTGCGGCTGATAACCTTAGGATGCTGCCATGACTGAATGATTCTCATTCGAACCCATCATCCCAACAACTCCGGAAACCCCAAAACCTAAATCCTAAACCCTAAACCCTACACCCTAAATCCTATAATCTTACATTTGTTAGCACTAGGCCCATCGCCATCCTATCATCAACCTGAAACCCTAAACCCTGGCCCGAAACCTGAAAGACCTAAATCCCTAAACCCTAAACGGAGAATCCGACTCCTAAACCTGAAAATGCTTAGGGCTCAGGGTTGAAACCCAGGAAACCCTGGGTTTAGCGTTTAGGGCTTCGGGTTGAAATCGGAGAACCCCGAGCAGTCCTGGCTGGCCGTGGACAGAGCCTCATTCGACCGCCAGGGCACAGTCAGTGCCACATGGGGCCATGGCTCCATGCCAACCTGCAGCGAGGGCTATATAAACCCTAAACCCTAAACCCTGAACAGAAAGAAAGGCTTCTGCTGAGTTCCATGAGCTTTCGCGCGTTTAGGAGATGGGGTTTTCGGGTTGAGCTTTCCAAGGCGCTTGACATAAGGTTGCTTAGAGGATGCGGGTTTGCCGGATTTCAAGCTAAGGGTGCGGGATGTAGGGTTTAGGATTTAGGGTTTAGGGTTAAGGGTGCGGGGTTTAGGGTTGAGGGCTTTACAAGTGGGTTTAGGGTGAGAGAGAAGCCTCTAGAAGGAGTCCTTGGTACGATTTGGAGCTTCTGGCCCATGAAAAACATACCCCAAAGCCCTGAACCCCAAACCTCAAACACAAACGACAGAAACCCTTACCTCTAAACCCTCTAAGCCCTGTCAACCCAAACTCCTGGTCCAAAACCCTAAGCCCGAAAGACCGAACACTGAAACCAACCTAAATCAAAAAAACCTAAATAAACCCTGTGGCCTAAATCCTAAAACCCTATTGTACTTATTAAAGCCCCCAAACAGGGATCTAGATCTAAACCCTAAAAAACACAAAGGGGGCCTAGGCCTCCGCCTTAAAGCCCGCGCCTTGACTGACCAGTACGCTTCAGACCATTCCTCTCCGGGTCCCGGCCGCCTGACCTCTGCTGTTTAGGCGTTAAGGGTTTAGGGTTTAGGGTTTAGGGTTTAGGGTTTAGGGCTTACAGTTGAGGGTTTGGAATTTAGGGTTTAGGGCTTTGGGGGTTTTGGGTTTAGGGTTTAGACCCTAAGCCCTAAACCCCGAAACCCCGAAACCCCTAAACCCCTAAACCCTAGAAACCCCTAAACAGTCCATAAACCCTAAACCCTAAACACCCTAAACCCTAAAAATCCCTATACCCTAAAC